TACAACTGATCATGTAACCTGATTGACTTTCTATATATATATGGATTCTGTGCCAGGTATGTTGATTCTGTAGCACAGACAAATTTTTTTAAAGTTTATTAATATTAGGGTTAGAGTTTAAGTTAGGGTTGGTTAGAGGTTAGGTTGTTATAGTAAAATCATTTAAGGGGAACTTTTTGTTAGTATACTAAAGATAGTTTTTTTATACAAACTTTTGATTAATAAGCAATTTTTGACAAAATGAACAGCTGTTTTGATTGTATTATATTATACTTGATTTTGAAATCTAATTTGATGTTTGGCCACATGATCGATATAATCTGGCACAGAATCTATATGTGCACTTTCTATATGGTTAATTATTTTTGAATTCAGATCAAAATGTTATTATATCATATATTAAATTGGTCCAAGTTCAAAAATAAAGATATATATCACTTCACCAATACTCCTTTTGTAGACATAACATTTCACTAACAAAAATGCACTGACAATTATTTTACTGACAAGTATATTTCACCAACAAGTTCATTTCACTGACAGTTTATTTTACTGAAGCTCATTTTAAATACAAGCTTTTTTTTATAAATCCTACCAACCTTAACTCTAATTCTAGTCTGACCTTAATGACAATGACCAAAATTATTTTGTCAGTGAAATGAACTTTGGTGAAATAAACTGTCAGTAAAATATACTTGTTGGTGAAATAATTGTTAGTAAATAGTTGTCGATAAAATGTTATTTTTAAGAAAGGAGTATCGGTGAAACAAGCTGAACTACAAAAAATAATTGGCCATATATCTATATATATACATGTAGTGTACAAATAGAAATTGTCTATAATATTATATAAATATAAATATATAAATAAAAATAATTAAAAACCCTTTATAACTTTAGCATAATCATCTTTGCTACATATGGCCATGTAATGTACTATCTTTATATATAGTTTGTTTGTCTCTTTATAATTTCAGGAGATGTCTAAAGTGGAGTAGATTCTTATAATATATATTTATTAAATTAACTTTAGAGTTAGAGTCATCTTATATGATAGTTAGATTATTTTTTTGATGGTTATATATAAGCAAAATTGCCTTTCTATATTTTTAATTAATTTACTCTAGGTAGGTTTAGACTACTGCGTTTTGTATTTTTCAGGTTTTTCATTTTATTTCTTGTTTTGCTTTGCTAGCGATTATCAAAATTCTATGATTTAATTGGTTAGATGATACATGATTTTTCTTCTCTAAAAAGAAAATTTTTATATCTGCTATTTTTTATATATGGAGAAAATCACCCACTGATATTTTTCGATCAGGCTAATTCGAAATATTTTAAACCAATATATATATTTTTTTTACATATAAATCATTTTTTGCTCATATTAATTCAATAGTTTATTGAATAAATATTTGACTTAATAAGAGTATGTTGGACAATCTTCATTACACAAACTTTTCAGAATTGAAAATTATAACTCAAAGCAACGTTGTCTAATAAAAAATCTAGGATCATCAATCACATGAAATTAATTGATTGATTATTTTCTAATATGTGATAGTAGGCCAATCACATTTATTATAATCGATAATGATCTTTAAAATTTTTATTTTACTAGATCGAAGATATTTCGTGATCAATTTAATGATTTTTATATCGTTCGATTTGTCTCATTGAAATGAATCGAATATTATAAAAATTATTAAATTCCAAACATAGATTCATAAATATCACCAATAATCTAATTTTCAATTTTTCTTATATTTTTTTATTAAAAATTCTGTTTTCTTTGCAAATTTATTATCTTTACTTAAATCTAACTAATTAACTATTTTTTCAAATCGTTTTTATATTATACCTTAGAATAAAATAGTTAAAATTTAATAAAATATAACTTAATAAAAATGATAATTTGTTATAATATATTTTTATATTTTAAAGAATATAAGATGCAGTTGACTTAACTTTTTACTCAGTTCCTTATGTAAATGTTATTTGAAAATAGTTTGTACTTCTTTCTCAAAGTACCAGATCTTAGTTTACACTGTTCTTTCTTTATTTTAACACTAAAATGTCTTTATATACTTGAATTACAGTTCAACTACCTTAGATTTCTTATAAACTTCATCTTTAATAAAACTTTCTAAATATTGGGTTATTTGGGATTAATTTTAATAAAATATAGGTATTCGAAAGTTCTTTTTGTTACTTTTTTTTTAAATGTATTTAATTGGTAAGTTTTCGAAAAATCACAAGAATAAAAAGTACTTTAATGTATATAAAAAGTTAAAAAAAATTTTTTATTCAATTGTAATGATCATTACCAAATTTGGGTTTGTTCACCATGCTCTCAATAAGTATATTAATTTGAATTTATCCGAATTAGCCTGATTAAAAAATGTCGAAGGGTGATTTTTCTAGCAAAGATCCCATATAGTTTATAGATACAGATATATATGTAGATAGGCCAGATCAACTTAATTCAGTAGTTTACATTACCTCCTCTCTTTTGGCCTTACTCTCTCTTAGTAAAAAAAATATTAGAATATATATGATTTTGGCCAGAGAGCATAATGTTGGGCAGAATTAAGATTAGGATCTGAAAAATATAAGACTAGTATTACTAGGTTAAAAAATTTCACACATCATACAAAACCAAGAAAAAAAATTTCGCACATCATGCAAAACCAAGAAAAAAAATTTCGCTAGGAAAAAAATATTTTGCTATTAGGTTAGGATTAGGGTATTGCAAGTAGGTTAGGTTTAGAGGTTATAGTTATATCAAAATTTTGTGAGAAAAACTTTTGTTAATACGCAGAAGGCAGTTTCATAGACTAAATTTTGAGTTATGGCCGATTTTTGACAGAACAACCATTTGTTTTGAATTTTTCTGATAGTGCAATGTTGCACCTGATCTTGAAATTTGATTGGCTGCGAAATTTTTTCGACTGCCGATTTTAGGGTTGTTTCCAAAAAAATCTGAAAAGAAAATGAACGAACATAAAAGACGAGCAAGGTCAGACCGAAAATTTCTGATTGAAAAAATTTTTATTAAAATTTACTATGTTCTATTTTTACCCTCCCCCCTCCTTTAAGAGAGAAATGTAATGTAAACCACAAAATTAAATTGGTCCGGCCATACACATGTAGATTACATCTCATGTCTATTGCATTGAGGAAAGAAAAACATTTATATCATTTAAAACAACTCAAATCCTAACAAAAAAAGTATCCTTTTAGTATTTATATGTCAATTCCATCTATTGTTATACTTCTATTTTTTGAGTTTTTTTTAATTTTTGACTTTTTTTCTTCTGATTTTTTTCTGGTTTGACGAATTAATAATCACTGATCTCAAAGATCATAGTGAAAGAACTACGGCAAAGAATCGTGAACTCAGCCCCTCAACACCGTGATCAACACAAAATTTACGTCATTCTATCGGTACAACGGCATCACCACATTCTGAAAACTGCACTATGTTCATTTAGTAACCAGTGGGGGAGACTTGTATCAGCAGAGCCAATTTAGCAAAGGGTCGTAATCATTAACAGTAATGAACTGAATATTTTATTAACACACAAAGGCACCAGAATGTAATAACTAATATTTCTTTATTGTGTCCCAGACAATAATGTAACCAATATCCTTATCCAACTAACCAACCTAGTACGTTCCAAACGCACTAAAACAAATAACCCTTCCAAACAAATATCCAAAAGACTAACTAAAGACAACTCTAGAACTAAAATACATAACGTTCTATATATATATCTATGAATAAACTCTAAAATAAGCTATCGACTATTTAAAGACTAATTAAAGTATGCTTTATACTTCGCATAAACTACTAAAATGTTATACGTAAAAGTATATGAAAGTATAATGAAAGTGTACTGGTTACACAAGCAAAGTTTAATTGTGAAACTTTGTTGCGTAACAATGGAAATTAGATCCAGATCAGAATTTATAATTATCGGATGTGAAACACCCAATGACTGTTTTATTTGGCAGATGATACTGTACGTACTATAACTTACGGCTATAATGATCGTTTCACATAGTAAATAAAGGCTTTAAATTTAGTGCACCAACTTTGGCCCCGGAGGGGCCAAAGTTAGGCATTAAATTTAAGACAGAACATCTAATGACAGAAATGCTTGAAAAAAAAAATCTTTCCGAATAAAAATAAGAATAAAACAAACAATTCTACTATTTTTAACACATTATGGGCGGCGAAGCCGCCTACATGATCATGTCTCCAGCTATAATGTATAATAAACTTATATGTACGCTTGCTTGTAGTGTAACAAATAATATGGATTCTAGACTGTTCGAATTATCTACAAACAAAAATAGTGTTTTCAATATTATCGTAACTAATGTCCATATACGTGAACGTACGTGCGTCCGTACGTACAAGTTTAATCTATCGAGGTTACAAAGGGTATATAGTAAAGTAGTACGATATGGAAAACAAATTAGGACAGACATGTAGAAATCATGATAGCACATACGATTTGTAAAAGAAAAATTCGTCAAACCCCAACATGAATCTATAGTTACCGTACGTGCTATCAAATTTAGTATAATTCTCGTATGTCTGTCCGAATCTGTACTGGAGTATAGTAATATTTTACTGAATACCTGGTGAGGTACGGTCAACAGTGGGCTAGCGTGATTACATTATCAACTATACTGAATTGATGTGCTTTTTTCTACGTCAACTGGTTAGCCCATTTCTAAAAGGGCTATTTCATGCGAATTAAAATTCGGAAATTCCGATAAATCTACGTTCTGCATACGTATTACAGCAATGTAACTATTTTAGGTATGAACACAATAAACACGAAAAGAAGTTCCAGTATTAAATTCGATTTAAAAGCTTAAATGAATTTCATATATTCGCACAAATTATTTTCTCATTCTAACGTCTTTACAAAATGAATTTTTGGTTTTATATGATTCTCGTAATTTTGATTTCATCATTCTACTTTATGCGTAGAATTTATAAACCTCCTGAAGGATTGGATTTCATTCCAACTGTTTCTTTCTTTAAGCTCTTGTTAATTTTGTTGTTTAATAAAGACCAACAGTATGAAATTCAAAAACTTATTTATAAATCGGATCCCGATAAAATTGGTTTAGTAAAAGTTGGTAGTTTTATTTGTAATTAAGCTCTTATATAAAATTAATCTATTATTTTTTCGTTATTTTAGGTTTTTATGGGTTGGGGTTGGTTATTTCTTATAACCGACATTGAACATGCTAAAGTGTTCTTCTCTGAAAGTGGTATATTTTATTGTCCTCTTAAATTTTAGATTGCCATTTCTTAAAAGATTTATTTATCTATATCGATAATAATATTATTATATCATATTGCTATTATTTTTTCGTTAAGCATATTCTCTTCCGAAAGGCGAATTACCTGAAAACCATCCAACAAAACTTTTCTTTGGAAAAGGGGTAGCAATGTCGAATGGAGATGTAACTATATTTTTCATTAAATTTTGAATGATCTTGTTTTAAAAACATTTCTATCCTTTTAATCTGTATCTTCATTTTAAAGCGCTGGTTACGACAACGAAAAATTGCAACTCCCGCGTTTAATCGTGCACTTCGTCCTGAAATGGTTTACGAATGCGCTAATGACTTTATAACTTTATTAAACAAATGGACGGGTACTCCGATAGATGCGTTCTCATTAATGCAACGCGTCACTATTCAAGTTTTAGGAAAATTGGCTTTCGAATATGACATGAAAGTTCGTATCTATATAATTTATAACAGGTAACTATGGGTATTGTGGCGGATCTGCTATAACTCGTGACCCATCGGTCCAAACCAAACGATTTTTATACCATTTGAATCGACTCATCAAGACGATTTGAATGGTACAAAAATCGTTTGATTTCGATCATTGGATCATGAAATATGGTGTTCGAATGTTAAAATCAAATTTTTTGAAAAAACTAATGTTATATTCGGACACTATTTTAATGCCAATATCTTGTGACCCAGTGATCGAAATCAAACGATTTTTGTGCCATTCGAATCATCTCGATGCGACAATTCGAATGGTATAAAAATCGTTTAGATTGGACCGATAGGTCACGAATTATTGCAAATCCGCCACAATACCCTTATCCATTATAATACTCTTCCAATTTCACGTAATATACGATTGTAAATAACTCGTGATTCTGTGATCCAAATTGAACGATTTTGGTACCATTCGATTCATCTCATCGAGACGAATCGAATGGCTCCAAAACTATTCAATTTGGACCAATCAATCCCGAGTTATACCAAAATTTCTCTTAATCCCACCACAATACCCATACTTACCTTATAACTTCTATAAAATTTATATATAAACTATAAATTTTATATAAATTTTTTAAAAATTCTATTTTTACCTGATTTAAAATCATCAAAAGCTATAGTGGTGGACACAACTAAAATTATAATATTAATAATATTTTAAACTAGGTTAAAATAGAATTTCACGAATTTTATTATATATTTTTGTTAATTAACTAAAAATATTTATAAACAAAGGCATTAGAGAGCTTAGAGGAACAACCATATTTTTTAAAATCATATAGCAAAATTGTTCACAATCTTGCGCAACCTATTCCAATACTATTCCCATTTTGGACTAAACTTCCTCTTAAAAACAATTTTGAACAAGCTTTATTAATTAAAGAGTTTGACAAATTTCTATTTAAAATGATTGATCAACGAAGTCTTGAAATGTCTAAAGCAAAAAATAAAGAAGCAAATACTGATTTATTGGCTG